CACACACACACACACACACACACACACACACACACACACACACACACTTATATACATACACAAAAGGCTGTTGTGACACAGAAGGGAAAAAGAAGCCACACAGAACCAACATTTTTAGATCAAATAGAATGAACAAACATTAAATCACAATAACAGTGTTTTTTGTATATTTTTTTAACACACACACACACACACACACACACACACACGAGTAAAGAGTTCTGTAATTCCTCATTAAGGGTCTCATGTTAGGAAGCACTCTCTAAAGAGTGAATCACGTGACGACTCGGCATCTTCGCGGTGCGATCTCTAAAACTGAGTCAGAAAGAAGAAGAAACAATAATCTGACTGAACGAAGAACAGAGGAGCTCCAACGTCTTTCTGTTCCACATAAATGCAACATTAAAACGTGCAACAGCGACACGTAGAACACAATGAAGTTCACAACAGCTGAAGTCAAAAACAAGGTTGTAAATCATGCAAATACACCACGGGAAGAAGAGCGTTAGATCATCACAGTGAGGTGGTGGTGAGGGAGGTATGTGACATAAATCAATCATTGCAAAATACTGGATCAGACTGAAACATGCCTACAGTTACTTACCACCTTTCTTTTTCCTTAGAGTGGCTTAAGGGGGGGGGGGGGGGACATAAACAGATGTTGGAGTCTTTAAAGCACAAAAACTGACTCAATCCTTCTTACAAGCTGAACAAAAACACACTTGTATCGTAGCTTTCTTTAATATTTGCAAAAAGTAATTTTGAGTATTTTTTTTTATATTTAGTGTCCTGCTGCGGCAGATGCATATGTCTGAGAATTTAAATTCAGATATGAAAACTGTGATGCTCTTAAGACTCTAAAACGCTACCAGGCTAAATTATTATTACTATACATGTGGAAGGTATAAGAATGACGTGTCAAATAAGCAGCTCTGGAAGAAACATGCTGACCAGAGCTATTTCTTTCTGTCAACAATTTCCTGCAATATAAGTAGACTCCCTCTGCTGTCATTTATGCATTCCTTCATTCACCTTTCATCGCTCTGCCTGCTCTTTGCACACCTTTGACACGCATACGTTTTATTGTTCTTTAATTAATCGTTCAAGCGTTATAATGACACAACTCACGGTGACATCTTTACATTGCTTTTGTACCGACAGTCCAAAACTCAAATGTCGATTAATCGACTGTTTGTGCAGCACACACAGTTCCTTGCGGTGTTTTAAAAAAGTGATCACCTGACAAATGAACCACCTCAGTTAAAGTTATAATCTTTCATATTTTCATGAAATACAAAGTTACTGCAGGCGGCAACTTTAGGTTTTGAAAAGTGTGTTAAAGCTGCATTCTCTCTAGTGTCCACCAGGGGGCGACTCCTCTGGTTGTATAGAAGTCTATGAGAAAATGACTCTACTTCTCTCTTGACTTATTACCTCAGTAAACATTGTAAACATGAGTTTATGGTCTCAATCTCTAGTTTCAAGTCTTCAATACAGCATGATGTTCATTTAGTACATTATGGTCCATTTAGAGTCACACAGACCATAAAGCAGGGGATGCTTTAGGGCGGGGCTACACGGTGATTGACAGGTCTCTACCACGGCGTTGTCTGGTCTGGGAGTTGTCCTCGTTTTTGTCTTACAACTTAAACTCTTTCACAGTATGTTTTCACTTCAGGAAAGTACATTTTCAACCTTTTTGGTCACATAAATACTTGGTACTTAGCTCCACCGTCGGGTGTCACTCCTGGGTTCTAAAAAACAAGATGGCGTCGGCCAAAAACCAAGATGGTGACGGCCTAAATGCCAAACTCGAGGCTTAAAAAAGGCAGTCCACAAACCAATGGGAGACGTCACACTGAATCCACTTCTTATATACAGTCTATGTGGTAAACCATGCATGGTGAAGTGGTCCCTTATTTCTATTTCACACATCCCTCCCTCCCTTCCTTCCTTCCTTCTTTCCTTGTACCCTCCTCCCTTTTCACCGATGTGGCCTCCTGTGTCTCCTTCTGCTCGTGTGTCTGAAAAACGCTGACTGCCTCGTCTGTCAGAAGGTATTGGGACGACACAGCACTTTTAATGCAGCACATAAAGAGGGTCGTGTGAAGTGGCCATGGCGACAGCTCCATGGTTGCGGGTGTCTCTAGAAGCAAGAGTCCTTCATGCATGATGGCGAGCAGGAGATGAGGAGGGAGGAAAAGCAGTTGTTCTAAATATTTAAGAGGCAAACCAAAGCGAATGATGGAAACTTAAGTTGCATTAGCCAAGAACAAAAGCTTCATTCAGCCGCCGTGAGCCGAAGGATGCTGCAGTCAAGCAAAATGGATGGAGAAAGGTGATGCAGCAACGAAGTGCTTACCTTTATCCACTATTGAGAGATTTAACCAATCAATGAGAATAAGAAGGAAGAACAAAGAAACAAAGAGAGGTGCTGTTAGACACAGACTTCCTTATGACATCGTGAGTAAAAAGTCAGGCCGAGGACGCTCTTACCGAGTTCCTCCAGTTCAGAGGTCATGGACTTGGAGCGCATAGACAGGGCTGTGGTGGGGGCTCTCTTTGGTGGGGGAGGAGCTGAGGGAGGCAAAGACACACACGAATAAAATACATACATCTCATTTTGATTAAGTGGCAGTTCATGAATGATAATTGTTCATTTAGTCACGTTTGCTGTAAGTTACTGTATATAATACTACGGTCTGCGTGTGCTCAATTCTGATTGGCTGCCATGTGTCCATTAATTCCTGATAATGAACACCTTCTAAGTATCCGTCTGAAACTCACCGTCTGTTCACCGTTCTGAATTAATGCGCTGGCAACAAAAAGATCTGAATATCTCACGAGCGTAGTCCTACAGTCTTGTTGCTAAATTATATTTAATTTTATACTGTTTTTCAACCGTACACATTGTTTTGACTTTGAATCTTGCTAGCATAACGTTAGCTTCATGCCAGCGTTATGCAAATCAAGAATTTGTGAAAACATTCCATTGATTTGGGGCTATTAACATTCCCCGGATAGCTAGCTAGTCTTGTTGTTAAACAAGGTTATTGACCTTGAATCTTGTTAGCATAACGTTAGCTTTCTGGCTCGTAGCTGAGCCAAATAGAAATATAAGTTGTGTCTACTGTCCGTCCTAGTTACTTAAATAATGAACAATGCCTTTCCATTGCATGAGAACCTCATGGGATGCTCATGAGTGTTCCAGGTATTGGAGTTCCAGGGAAATGGAGACTTTGGTTGCAAAAAATGCATGAAAATATAAATGAATGGTCTTAATTCTATTTTGTGGCACGTGACCATGGTATGAATATGATAATGCCCTTCGAGCTGTCAGTTATCAGTATGTAAGGTCTTCACAGAGGCAGACATCCACCCTTGCCAGTCGTCCACTACTTCCTGATGATGAACACCTCGTCAGGCTTTATCCCTAACACTGAATGCGAGTTTGTATCGACAGCAGAATTAGTCTTTAACAGATGTAACTTTTGAAAGAAGAAATAACAGATGAGAAGTTAAATTCAAAAGCAATAAACACTCCTTCGTCCTTTTAATACACTCAGAGCTTTTGCTGCTGTCGTTACCTGATGAGCAGCACTTCAGGCCGTTACGGAGCTAAACTTCAGACTTGATGATTCTTCTACTTCTGCTACAGTTACAATATGCTTAAGTATTTAATATTGTTTCATAATTGTGTATTGTCGTCCTTTAATGTGCAGTGAAATATAAAGTCTTATGTGAGTTTTGAACTGCTAAGTGGTTGAGCTTTGATAATCTAAGCAGCTTAATAGGAAACATATGAGCTTCTGGTTCGGAGTTATTTTTGTTCTTTGCGTTGTGAACATGGAGTAAGTCAGATATTCTCGCTGCCTCTGAGGGATATTATTACATAACACATCATTAGTCAGCATGCTGCCCTGCTGCAGTCTTTGGTATTTTAATACAACTGTTCACAGTTCCATCCAGCAGAAGGTTTTTCCACACCAATTTTACGACACGTAAAATGTGCCGCTGTGTCCGCACCTGAAGCTTGTCTCCACTATTTCCTTTTCTAACCCCGTGTCTGATTTGAGCGTCACTGTCAGTCATTTCTCCTCCAGTGTACTCTGCAGGTGGTTGTACCTTTTTTGCGCGCCGTGTCGTCGGGGTCCAGATTCCGGCTCACCGTCACCACCTTGATCAGGAGCCGGTTGCCTCCATGGCGGATCATGTTGACCACCTGTCTGTGGCCCACCTTCACCACGTTGTCCTGGTTCACCTGACGCAAACACACAACAGTGGAGTCATTAACGGCTGGTACATCCTTCAGGACGTCAACACATCTTCGCATTTGTAGAAAACAGCAATTTTCTTAGCCTACAGTATAAAAGTAGCAGTAAATGTTTAATTTACTTGTGTATTTGAGTACTTTTTGACCAGCAAAATGAAACTGAAGGGTGTATTTCATGCTGTACATCTTTTAAATCCAGACTCTAACAGATCATGGCCACTAATTTGATTCAACAGAAAAAACTGGAGGTGACCATAAAACTTCTTGCTTTTCATAATATATAATATAGTTATAATGCTGAGTTTATCAAAGACAGGAAACCAGATGTCATAAAATATCCTTCAAGGCTTTGTTAGAATATTCAGTTTGGTGTTTTTTATTCATTAGAATGGCTGCAGTCTTCTGAGAGTCTCTGAGAGGTTTATGCAAGAAACTGGCAACAAAAAAACATCTCAAATTCAAAGCAACACACCTTTTTATGGCATAAAACAACAACAACAACAACAACAACAACCGGTGGAGAGCAGAACAACAGCAGACAAGCAGCTCGCTCTCTGTGGCGGCTTCATGCTGGGTCTGGTGCTATTTCTAGATCGACAGCTCGTCAAAGTGACAAATGATGTGGCAGGAACTCAGACCAACCACAGGGACGAGGGAGACGAACATTATACCAGTAAAAAGAGTCAATTACACACAATGTGCTACTAACTATCCATGAATGAGTACAAATATCACATATCTACCCCCAAAAACAGCTCACTCATTTAGGAAGACTCAGGCCTATGTGGGCGTGTACAGACCGTTTGATTGACATCTGTTAGCTTTGTTACACCTATTGGGCAGGACACATTACACCATCATCATCATCATCATCATCATCATCATCATCATCACCATCATCATCTAAATGTTGCCGTCTTATCAGCTGAAATAAGTAAAAGAAAAAACACCTGTGCGGATGTGCAGGACCGTTAACAAGTTATGTGGAACCAAAGTTCAAATGCGCTAGTTTAGCTTAGCACAACAAGCGGATTGCGTGTCCTGTTGCACCGCCAATAACCGCTAACTTGTGCACAGTCAACATTAATACATACTTTACAAGTACTGAGGTGAAATGATTGATGAGTTGATTAATCGAGTGGTTCATCAACAGAAATAGTTTATTACTAGTTGCAACTTATCAATATTGATGCCTTTCTTTGTCGTATATGGGAATAAACTGAAGTTCATCTCTCCCTCAAGGTGAAACGTTGTGACTTTTCCTTCATTCATGCTGCAGATAACGGCTCACAACGCATTTCTAAACCAGGCCACGGATATGCAAATGTGGAGGTGGGGGTGTTATCGCTTTCTTCCTGTCCTCCTGCCATTCTTCATAATTACAATATTCATGTTGCTGGACGGCCGCTGCCCCTCGCAGTCACACTTCAAACACAATCGGAACAAGTTGCCAAAATATAAAGAATCCTGCGGTGATATGGTTCTGATTAAAGGTGATGTGTGTGTGTGTGTGTGTGTGTGTGTGTGTGTGTGTGTGTAGACACAGATGCCAGCGGGTCACACACAGCTCAGCTACCCATAACATATCGCATCAGAAACACATTTTATACTTTCTCCTTCAAACACACGCGTCACCTCATGGGTGGTTCTGCCTCTTCCTCCAGACAAATAGTGGAGGAGGGTCAGATGAGCCCGGAGCGACACGAGGAAGGACGGATGGAGAAGAGGAGGGAGAGGAAGCTACGACGACAGGGGGGGGGTGATGAATAGAGGGAGGTGGACACAGGGAGAGCGAGTAATCTAACAAACGCTGCTCGGGCGTCACGAAGGCGGACATTTTGGCAATTAGAGAGAATTGCTCCAACAGCTGTTTCAGCGTGACCTCGTGTTCCCTCCGTCGTGCTCCACCACACACACACACACACACACACAC